CCCCCCGTTTTTTTAGGGAAACTTACCAGAGCCATCTGGTTGAAGGAGCGCTTCATGCTGTTACTCATGGCAACTGTAGCCGGACTAACGTCTTTGTACGCTTGCACAAAATTGTCAACAGACCTAAACCAACACAGTTGTCATTATAAATAGGAAAACATTCATTAACGTACAGCTTTTTCTTCCCAAACCCTTCATAAAGGATGGGTTGATTACCTTACCTTTGTTTATGCATTAGAAGTGACATGTTCTGCTGGCATGAGGGGCGTTCTTCCCCAGACAGATTGTCCATCAGACAGGCCTTCAGCGGCCATTGTTGGTAGGTTATTATTGGGTCAGGAGGCCACTGCATGGAAGACAGTGGTGTGCTGGCCGGGCCTCGGAAAGCTGGGTTGTGAATGGGGCGCATCATGCATGACCTCTGCTGGGACTCCACAGAGCCCAGGTTGGAGCCTCTTCTCTCACCGCTGGCCCATGCCGCTTGTGGTTGCTGCTGGTAGCCGTTCTGAGGCTGAGGAAGAGAGGTCAGTGGCTGGAAGAGGCTGGCCACATTGTTGCAGCTCTGATGGATGGTTAGGTTGCTCATGCTCCCCATGGATCCTGCTCCAGCCCCTTCCAGAGGTTCTGACTCTGGGATGATGGGATTCAGCTGAAAGTCTTCACCGTCCATTGGGATGTAAGGGGCCAGGGTTTCCAAATCCAGGTCACTTAAGTCCTCCTAAAGAAGACAAAATGGGATCAAATGTTTTTGAAAAGCAATAAATAAGTAAAATGAAGTAAAGAAGTTTATCTATGCAAAGTAATTCCATTTAAATTTTCATTGATCAGTAACAAATACTCTGGTAAAATAATGTATTTATTAAAGATGTCATTTTCAGCCACTATTGGAACTTACAGGTTTAGATGAAATCCTTAGAGTTGCTCTCTCAGACTGCCATAAAGTGCCACCCTCGGTCACATGACTCATTCAGTGATGGATACAACCCTTTCAAGTTTTAGAGAAAGAGGACTGCTACAAGTCTTCCATCAGCCGGGCCCTGCCCACCCTCCACCCATCAGCCTTCCTGCCTCAAGGTCACCTGTGTTCTCAGCGCCCTCCCTCCTTAGATTGCCATCCCTCTGGCCAATTCTCTGCGTTACATTGTAAGAGTGCACTGGTGTGTTCACCTCTTGAACCCACCATTCAAATCTAAGCATGAACTTTCCTTCTAGAATCTGACGCTCCTTCACCTCCTCAGTAAACCCAATGTCCTTTTGTCTCCCGTTGGTTCCCGAGCCTCCAGCTCCCCACCGCTGTCAGTGGTTCTCCATCTGGTTCACTAAATAAAGTCGCTTAAACTCTGACTTGTTCTCCACAGTGTTTCAACATTTGGGCTAAACAGCTGAAAACCGAGACACAAACTAAGCTAATAGTTAAGTTAAAATTTACTCAGTGTTGCTTAAATTAGCAATGATGTAAAAAAATTGATTAATCCAAAGTCCAATAATGTTTAACACTTCTTTGTTTCACTGTTAAAACACTCATCCTGAAGTAAAACAGAAAAAAGTTCCTGATTTGTTGAGAAGCACCTAACTGCAGGACAGGGTGCCGCCATTTCTATAAGACATATTGGACGTTGGATATTTTGGCCAAATAATTAAAAAAAAGTTAACATTTTTTTTATTATTAAATATTAATTCAAATTTAAAGTTTTAATTTAGACACAAATTTCTAGATTTTTGACAGAAATGACCCCTGACTAGAGATTATTAAAATGGTTCTTAAAATAAAATGTTTACGTGTTTGTCTATAGGAATATTGATGAGGAAAATTTGAAGAAACCTAAACCTAAGGTCCGGAGACATAAAACCTAATCTAATCCCTCCCCTAAAAGACTTACTCTAATCCTAGCATCCTAGAAACCTAAACCTTGTTGGGATCCTCAGGCTTGCCCACCAGAGGGCCCCGAGGATCCTCTTCTGCTCTCTTTGTTTTTCCCTTATGGTTGGAGTTACTGTGGGGATCTGGAGATTACCCCCTGTCTCCAGCAGGATGCGCTGTGGGTCTTCTGGAAGCTTGAACCTTCCTGCACACCTGTTCCTAATCCTCTTATCAGAAGACCTCTCCTTTATAACCTCCTGCCTGACCTTGATTCCACGCCGCAGTGTTGATCTTAGAATCCTGTCTCCTCGTGAAGCTCTGGATGAGCTTAACCTCCTGTCTCCTCGTGAAAGCTCTGGATGAGCTTAACCTCCT